TTTTTTTTTTCTTTTGCGTCTCCTTCCTTTTTAAAACATCCTTTGTCAGTGTAGGCAAGTACAAGGGAAACAAGGTTGAGAACGAAAAGGGAAAGAGAAAACAAGAGTGAATATCAGCAAACCACAAAACCAATGTGAAAAATTAATCAAAAGAGGTGGGAAAAAAAAAAAAGCAAAACAACAACAAAAAAAAAAAAATTCTACTTCATTCGTTACAGTACAAAGTTACAAAACAAGTATGAGATACGTTATCTCACTTCTCTTTGCGTGCCAGTACGTGATATACTTTTTCTCATTCTCCTTCTAGGAATGTGATGTAATGAGATGAAGAAATATTTGACCCACGTAAATAATGCCATATTCTCTATTTTTATTTTATTTTTTGGCGCGGGGGAATAGGAAGGTTTGGAAGTTCTTTTTTTTTTGGTTTTTGATTTTTTTCTATTTTTTATTTTTTCTTTCTTTCTTTCCTGGCTTTCCTATTTTTATTCTTTTCTTATAACAATCATTATCACAACCTTTATTTTTCTTTTTCTCTCAACTAAAAGGGAGGAAAAAGAGGTTCGGTGTGAAATGAATAGTTCTAAAGATGATGAACAAGGTGGAAGGCCTCTTCCAGAGTGGCTTCGTGATGGGATAGCAGAAGGGATGTGTGCTTCCCCTAAATGTGAACCCTCAACAGTAAGCCCCAAACAAAAGAGTTCCTGGGCGCTCAACGGTATACAAAACACTCCTGAAGTCCTCTCCCTTATTCTTGACAAATTAGAAGAACAATCATTACATATCGAAAAAATGAGTGCTGCTCTTGCAGGACTGAAGTACCATACTTCCTTTGATGTACTCACGATGGTTAATGTTGCGGTTGATGCCATTTGTGAAGAAGCTGTGATCCACGTAAGAAGTACCGTAGAATATACGGATTTAATTGCTACTGTAACTCTCAGCTTTATCACTGGGGAGACGTCAATACTTCTTGAAGAGACCAACAACGATGTGGATTTTGTTGGTGTGAGATTTTTGTCGAACTGTGTGTCGGGCTGTCACCTTCTTCTTAAGGGCGGGGTGTACAGTGTTGTTGTAAATATGGATACCGACAAGATTACAGATGTCACGCAGTTAGTGTTGACTGCACAAAATGAGGAATCCACACGGGAGTTGTACCAAGCACTCCTGTCTCTCTACACACATCTCGGGACGGGGTCTGGAGCTGTTGCCACGGCTCCTCCTGTTGAATATAGAAATTCACCGTCAACGGGATCGCGCTCCTCAACGCGCAGTCTCATCTCGCGTGATCGCGTATCGGACGCTCGGGCCCCGACAATGCGCCGGCGCTGCAGACCGCCCCGCACAGTCGGAGAAGGCGTCTCTTGTGCAGAAGTCCCCGTGAACAACACAGATGGATTGCATTCCCATCCATCACGATAAGTTACTTACTAGTGTGTTCTGTTGTACCATTGAATGAATATTGCCATACTTGAGTATGGTGAAGAAAAAGAAAAGGAGGAGGAGGAGGAGGAGTGTTTGTGGTGAAAATGGGCCCTTTGCGAATGAAAGTTTTTTATTTCATTTTTATTTTTCACAGATCCGTCTTTGAACTCTTCTCTCATGGGAATGCATCCGCCTTCTCTCTTTCATTCGTTTTTTTTTTTTTTTTTTTATTTTCTTTTGCTGAGGCACTCTTTTTTTTTTTCATCTTGCTCGGGCGACTTCCCCTCACGATTCTACGAGGAAAATAAGAATCAAAGGTATATATGTATATACTTTACGTCTCTGAAGGCAATATCGTCAATAACAAGCAGTAATATGAATATTGGAAAAAAAAAAAGAAAAAATAATAATTGATAGGGATGCAGATTCCTACAGCTGATGTCAAATGCTTGGCAACGATTATCGAATCCATTGTAAAGGAAGTACAAGAGGAGACTGTGGTGGAGGAACGAGTTGTTGATCTTCTAGCGCTGATTCCAGATGTCTTTCAGGCTAACCCTATGGCGCAACGCATTGCGTATCTTATTACCACGGTTCAGCCACTCGCTGTTGTTGTTTGTTTGATCCGTCCATCCTTACAAAGCTGCAAGATCAATCTCGCGGCATTAAACGTGTTGCTAGAGGTTGTTACTTTCTGTCTAAACTTGCCTGACTTTTCTACCATTGAGGCCACAATGACGGCACATCTTGTAGATACAAATGTGTTGTATGGACTACTCGATTCTCTGTTTAGTCGTGGAAATGAGGTTATTAGAGCATCTGCAGCAGAGTTGTTGTTTATTCTCGTGGCAAGAATTACGTTATTTGGACGTACGCTTACTGAAACGGTAGGGGTAATGGACCAGATTAGTGTACTTGTGTTCAACACGGGAAGTCCGTTCGCGGCAGTTAGTGAGTACTTAGCAGGTATACTTCGTGTTTCTTGTGGCAGAGATCCGGCGACACTGCCTCCTACTTTACTCCGTGAGGCATTAACTTTACTCGCCACTCGCTGCCAGGAACCGAGTCGAGTGGTTATTCTTATTGCAGAGTGTGTGGAGATTTTGATAACGCACCATCCTTATATTTACTTGCGATCTCTGGAGACTGGTGAGGTTCCGTCATTAAACAATATTCTCATGGTTTCAGAAAAAATAGAGGACAAACAGTGGAATGCTCTGATGAATCTCTTGGGTACACTACTACAGATAGAAGGGCAGACACATGTAGATGACATTGAGAGACAGACTGCAGCATATAAGGTAGTTCTACATGACAAGAAATTATGGTCATCACAAGAAGCATTTATTCGTGGAATGCATATTGTATTTCATGCAATAAATGCAGCTATAACAGAAACTGTTCAATTGCACATGACTTCTACCTTTTTGCGTTCATTTCCTTTGATATGTCGAGTTATTATGGAGGGTTCTCAAGACGTAAGAGAACATGCTTCCCTAATTATTAGCCTTACACTTGCGAAAAATGCACAGGTACGCACAATAGTTATAGGTCTAACAAGAAATTATCTTGAATGGTCAAAAGAACTTTTAGAATACATCATTAATAGTATACTCAGTTTTGATTTTAAAGATTTACCTATCATAGATGCAACTGGTATTATACTCAACGATCCGGCTACACTACCTCATGAAAAAGAAACAGATATTGACAAGTGGGCTGAAACTCTTTTGATGTTACAGGAAGAACGTATGATATGTGGTGAGCATCATGAAGTTAGAGAAGATGCCCTTCAACGAGTGAGAGACTCTTCTATAGATGACACTTTTCTTCTTTCCTGTACCAAGGCTATCCTTTTAAAGGCATGCAAAAAGAGTTTCATAGTCGATACAACTTCAGTGGAAAAGAAGAAAGAAGGGTACAAAAAATGGCTTACGCAGCAGCATAAAGGTTTTCAAAAACAAACCCCAGAAAAATCTACTTTGAGTAATGATAGAAAAAAGAGTCTCAGAAAGGGAAAGAAACATCAAGGTGGATCTCGTACCATCACTACTGATGATAATTTTAGCATGGCAGTACTTTCTTACTTGCCATTACTCTTCGGAGTGTACTTTAATCGTGCACAGAGACCTTCTCCGCAACGAAAATTGTATGGCCTAAATGGTATAGTAATGCAAGATATTCACCGAAATACTCAAAGGTCATGGAACCTAGATGATGTCCTAATGGGAGAACTCTACTCTTTCTTTATTCCATTTCATGAACTGACTGCAGAGCGTGTGGAGATTGAGGTGTTGAATTTGAAGCGTTTGACGCGGGAACTCTCCCGCAAACTTCTGACGATTCCCATATCACAGAGGAGCCGACGTTGTTTTTTGACGGACATGGTTAACAACATCCTTCCGAAGACGGAGTTGCTCGTTCGTGAACTTGCAGATATGCTGCATCGACATGGTCCTGAGAGTATTCTCTATCAACTGGGGCTTATCCGTCTGTTGGATGCACACTTACTAGATGCGGCAGCTCCGGAGATGCATGTCTCTCGCGAGATTACAGTGCTTTCCCAGTTTGTGTTTAAGGACGTTGTGCACTCCGGAAATCTGATGTACTGTATTACACAACTACGACAGCGGTTTAGTGAAAAGATATGACGGTAAAGAAGAAAATCAAAAGAAAATTGTAGAGTAATAATGATACTCAACTCTATATATGGAATCTGCATGTCTATTTTTTTTTTTTTTTAACGTTTTTGCCTTTTTTTTTCTTTCTCTCTTTTTCTTTTCTTTCAGTAGGGTAGATACATTTCTCAAGACTGCAGTTACAGCAGACTGGAAAGTTATGGCGGGCGGGCGCGATGATCCTCCATGGGCCACATTCTTGACCTGTTGTTTAAGTCATTTGGCGCTATTTCCTACCATGAAATTTCTTCATCGACAAAACATGCTCTACGAGTTTTCTCTCTCTTGTTTTGCTGCCTTGGTATCATTTATGTATCATACATCGGAGTGCTTTCATAGACGATTATTTCTCTCAACTTTGCAATGGCATCGATTAGACAACATTGGTGCTATTTCCTCGATTACCATTACATGTCTTCACCTTTCGTGTTTTGAATCAGAGACGGTAATGGATAATCTTAAATTTGTTTTTTTCTTTGCGACTTTAATTCTCCAGGAATTTGATCCGTGGAATGTTACCTACACGGTACTGCCTGTTTTTTTGGGCGCTCTCATGGTACTTATGTCGCATTTTTTGAAACCTAGAAGGCGAAAATGCATAATACGTAAAAAATTCCTTGCCGGTTTAACATCATGTTGCTTTGGTGCAGTGTTTTTTAGCTGGGGGCTGGACAATCGTAACGATCCCTTTCGCATTTGGCATGGTTTATTTCATGTTTGCATGGGGTTAGGCTTCTATCAATTTTTTATCTCCATAAGGCGACGTGGAAAGGCCTTGCATAGTGAAGATACAAACACTGTGTCTGTGAACATTGACGTTTAATTTTCCTTAGGCGATTTTTATTTATTTTTTTTTTTTTTTGTCTTATTCTTACCGAAATACGATTCGCATAGTATAGTTGCTTCAATGTGATAATATGTGGTTATGTAATGGATCATTCTTCGTGAGTTTCCTCCCTTCCTGTTTCAGTGTACGTATATGTACAGCTCAATAGGGTCTTATATATATGTGTGGTTTTTCTTTTTTTTTTTATTATTACCTGGAAGCTGACTTTCCTTCTATTTTACGTTATTTTTATTCTTGTGTAGGTAGAGTAATATTTTGGTTTGCGATGAGAGAAGAGGAACCGTGGGCTCTCTTTACAACTACCGTAGTGAGCCACTTGCCAATGTTACCAACAGTGTATCTCTTCTTCAGAAGACGATATGTGTACGAGGCATGCATAGCTGTTTTTGGTCTTACATCTTCTCTTATGTATCACACATGTCAATCTTTTGACACGGAGATATTCTTAGATGAGCTTGGGTGGCATCGCCTAGATAATATTGCTGTTATCACAGGAGTAGGTATGTGGTTGATCTTTATTTGTTGCTTTAAGGATCCGATGGTGGAGCGCATTGCGAAATACTTTACACTGCTATTTACTATAGTTGTGCAGGCTAAGGATCCGTGGAATATTCAATATACATACTTACCGATTATTGTTTATACGTGTGTGCCGTTTTACGTGTGTGTTATCAAAAAACGACCACCGGTGGTAGAGCGTAAATACTTACTCATAGGTACTTTCTTCATGCTGATAGCCTTACCGTTCTTCGTTGCAGGACTTAATGATGCGGAGGACCCCTATCGAATCTTCCACGGCCTGTGGCACCTTATCGGTGCGATATCGTCGTACTTTTTATGGATTATGGTGAAATACCCCGGTGCGACTGGAGTGCTCTCTAAAGGAGCCCTTATATCTATAAGGGGAGACTCACTTCTGTAAAAGGTAAAAAAAAAAAAAAAAAAGATTCTCTCTGGGAATTATCTCTCTGTTTTGCTTCTGCCAGACGCATCCGTGTTTTTCTTTCTTTATGAATGTCTGTGTTTGTCTGTTTGTGTGTGTGTGTGTGTGTGTGTCATGTGTTCGCATGAGTGTGACATAGCTTGGGTGTTGGTAATTGTTATTATTATTTTTTTTTTTTGTTATCGCGTTTTTCCATTTTCAAAAGAACCAACATTGAGGTGCCCTGGCAGTTGAACTCTAGCTGAGAATGGTAACTGTCACCAATAGGACAGAATCTGTACCCCGAGAAAAAAAGAATCTCCTTTTTTGTTTTACACAGCAAGGTGGATCACTATGTGGAATTGACCGATAGTGTATTCCTTCACCTCTCTCTCTTTCTCTTTGTTTCTTTCTTTATCTCCCTTAATGCACTCCACAAGAGCGTATTTCTAGGGCCTACATATAAGAATGGAATTAGCTAAAAGGATATTATTGAGACCAGTTTTCTTTTCTTGGCCGTGATACAGATAACGAGGACCTCTTTCTTAAGTACACCAAGGATCATTTCTTTCGTATTTGGCTAAAAAAGTCTACTAAACAGTTTAGCTTACTACATTACCCATCCTCTTTTTGTATCCCATGGGATGTTTGTTTGTTTGTTATTGATGTTGTTTCGTTTCATCATTGATCCACGGTTGATGATCCTTTTCTGGTGCAACTTGTGTTGTTCGATATCACCTAATCGGAATGTGAAATGCTCTTGGGGAGAGTGAAGCTATTTGTAGAGACCTTCTAAAAGTAGGAATACCACACACCAGTTAATAATATCACGTTTTCTGAACACTTTGTCTAAAACGAAGGCAAAAACAAATACATGCATTCGTGCTTCTTCAAACTTTTAAGTTATATTGGTTTTATCATTGCTCTACAGAAATTTCTAGAAGCTTGTGAAATGAATGTTTAACGAGTGAAGCTATTTCAGATGAAAGAGCTTATTTGTAAATCTATCCTTCTGTTTATTATTATTATTATTATTATTATTATTATTATTATTATTATTATTATGTGTTTTTTATTTATTTATTTTGAATACATATTATCTACTCCTGAGTAGTATGTGGATTTCTATGGAGTGCTGGTGTCGCCCTACTGCAATCATCAGTTTCTGTGTATGTATCTATTTATTTACTTATATGTGTTTCTACGTTTGATTTAATTCCTATGATGGCAGCCGTTACACTTACTTTAAATTCACTTCTCTTTTTTTTCTTTATTTCTTATGCTCTTTGTGTATGTTTGTTTGTATTTCCTGTAGGCCATGACGAGTTGCACAGAGGCAGTAAAAAAGCTAGATGCTGTTGTAGATGCAATGAAAACTGCCGTGATGGAGATGGAGTCTCAGGGAACGGCTGACATGAACGCTGTCATAAAGGGGGCAGCCGAGTTTCAGTGTATGTTGCATATCTTATCGCGCGAGGCAGCGGCGAACAGTGTTAAGGAGGAACAAGTAAGAAGAGAGGGATATTGATAATAATTATGTTCATCGTAACAATATTATGCAGCAGTTTCCCATATATTGATTTGCATCTGGAAGAGAGAAAAAACGAATTTATTTTTTGTTTTTTTTCTTGCCGTAAAATATGTATTCCTTACCTCTTCTTCTTTCCCCCCACCCCTTATATTTCTGATGTATGTACTTGATTTCTTTCTTTTTTTTTCTTTTTTTCTTTTTCTTTGCCTATATCTACCGCAATCCTTTGCGAAAGGTTTTCTGTGCAACGTATTAAGTATGAACAGCGAGGAGAAGACACGCGGGTGTCTGACGAAGGCGCAGACGCTGAAGGACAGCGGGAACTACAAGGAGGCTGTCACTGTCCTGCAGTCGCTCTCTGAGCACGGGGTCCACTGGGGCCCAGTGTACACCGCCGCCCTCGACCTCCTCGCCGAGCTGTGCTTCAGCCAAGAGCAGGGCGTCACCGTCGACCGCTTCTTTCCGGCATTCAGATGGAACCGCAATAAACTTCGCGGATCGCAGCATTTGGAGGAGGGAACGCGGCGCATCATCGACATCACACTCAAACATCTCCGCGCTTCAGGTGAAAGGGCGAGGCGCAACGCAAAAATGATGGAGGAGGACCCTAAAGAGGAAGAATTAATTTTGGCCGCTCTCTCGGGAATTTCGCCGGCGCAGAGGGCAAGGGAAAGGTATCTTATCCCTGCAGAAAATATGACACAGATGGTGGGGTGCGAGTTGCTTAATTTTAATGTAATTGGACATTCAAAGAAACTGCTTCCCTTCTACCTTGATACAGCTCTGCAACTCATTGAATACTGTCATGAACACAACTTAAAACGAGCTGTTGGACGTATCGCTGAGGCTTTTGTACGTTTCTTCAAGAGATTTCTTCAAAGCCCTATTAACCTGCCGTCAAAGACTGATAACCAATACCTTATTACATTAAGCAAGGAGCTTGAAGCAGACCGTGAAGATTTCTACAAGGAGAAGGCTACAACTGAGAAAGCAGTAGGCGTTTTCTGTCGTCTTTTGCAAATATTAACAGCAATGAATAGTTGGCAAAGTGCATGGTCAGCCCTACAGTGTTTCACGAAAGTAATGCAAGAAATTTCTCAACGTCCAGATCACTCTCGAGAGTGTCAAATTGAGGCACATATGGCGATGGCTTCCCTTTTTTGGAAATGTTCACACTACGCTTTTCATGCCCATTGTTTAGGGGTTGCTGCCTTTTTAACTGAAGAAGGACGGATGCCTATCGCTTCCAGAGCAGTTCTGGCTACTCTCTGTGCACCTAACATTAACAGGGAAAGAAAAAGCTTTGCACGAGGTTCTGATTCTATTCTTGAGAAAAACGCAAGAATTGCTCAATTATTTGGACTTCAGGCAGCACCAGGAAGAACATCTCTTTGGAAGCGTCTTCAGAGAATGCAGGTTCTTCAAACTGCTTCCCCAGAGGTTCAGGCATTTGACGAATTATTGCGTAATGAAGTCCTCGATGAGGAAATGGCAAAGAAGGCTATTGGATACCTGTCTAATATTCTCCAAAAAGAACCTTCCCTTGAAATATACCGAGAACCACTACGTAAAGTTATTATTCAGCGGTATTTGGAGAGTATGTCTGCCAAAACTACTCGGTTAGAGGCAGATTCTCTACAAATAGGAGAGACAAACCCTTCAGAAGAGAACTACATTAATGAAATTGAACCATTCATTCTGAATGAGTCGGGAATTGCTGTAGAAATTGATCACAAAACAAATTCATTGTCGTTCAGCAACACTACGAAAATGAAGGTACTCCATGCATTTAATCTATTGGCGGAAAAAGTGGACCTTCAACCAGCTGCTCCTCGAAGAAAACTTGATATACGTCCAGAGCATTTGCAACGGGCTCATGACCGCAGCAGTATTATTCATCGTTTACAGTACTTATGTGAAGAAACTGCAGAGGAACGTCGACAGAATGCTAAGGATAAAGAAGAAGCTGAACGTGAAAATGCCAGACTGGAACGTGTTCAAAATGAAGAAAGGAAGAGGGAAGCAGCGCGTTTAGCGCAGGAGGCCCGAGGACTTGCTGAGTATCAAGAGTTTGTAAATCAAGAAAGACGAAAGGTTGTATTACGCCGTCTTAAAGAAAAGTATAAGAGTTTCACTGTTCCAGATACAATTACGCAGAAAAATTCCACTGATTTCGTTCAAGAATTAACGATGTTATTAACGGAACACCTTAAGAAGACGACAAGAGAGAAAATGGCTGATGTGACAAAAATGAATTATTTTGAAAGAGCTTGCAGAGAACTTGAAATACCTAAGAGGGAGCGTATTGAGCGTGAAGAGGCAGAGCAGCACAAAGCTGAGAGAGCAGCGGCTCGGGAGAACTTCCTTATACAGCATCGCAAGGAATTTGAAAAACGTCAGCAAGATAATGAGGTACTAAAGAAGTTCCTTAAGGAAGCGGCTGTGTTTGCAGAACAGATACAAATGAAAGAAAAGACGTCTAAGCGCGATGAGCAACAGATGCTGCTTCAAAAAGAGAAGGAGCGCTTGCAGGGCTTATAGTACATTGCGGCAGTGCCATGTGCCCGCAGCCTTCAACGCTTTTTTTTTATTATTTTTGGTAATATCTCTAATAAGTAAGTATCATCTATTTCATTAAAAAAAAAAAGTAATTTGACACACTCTTTTTTCTTTTTCTTGGTGGTGGTGGTGGTGGAGGGGTTCGGCCCCCTACCCAAATGATGGCAAGAGATAACGCAGGCATTTTTCATTTGAGAGTGCCTGCATAGGTTTTTATTTCTCTTGAAGTATTTCTTGCGTCTTTTTTTTTTTTTTTGTTTTTCGTTTTCTCACAAATTAGGACCTTTAGCATGTCTCGCGAAGCTTTTCGTTTCAGGCGTTCGAAAATGCCCTATGTTTTATGAAACATTACACTCCAATACCGATAACGAGATGTATCACCTCTTTTCTGAGGTATGTGGACTTAATTGGCTGGTTACCAAGCTGGATATTGTTCCACACTCCATCTTGGTGAATCTTTTTGTTGATGTTAACTTCATTTTTTTTTTTTTTTGCAGTTGCTTCAATATTGAGAGTTATTTAAGTCATAATTAATCCTCTTCTCACCTTTTCTGACATTACTAACGGTAAGCATAATTGAGAAGGAGCTGGTAGGCACGACTAAGTACCTGGGAATTTTTTTTTTTTTTTTTTTTGAAACGATAAGACCTTTGTAATTACGGTTTTACGTTATCAATAAGCATTTGGGTTAGATTCTTGCTTCATTTCTGCATTAGCCAGAAAAACCATCTCAGAAAAGAATCTGAATAAATCGTACAGTAATAAAAATTGAGGTATTGCTTTCGAAATGTTTCAACACATTTTACTGCTGTTTGTGTACCCGAGATACCATGTCACTACGTGGTGGCCTTTTTTTTTTTTTCTTCCGGTGATCTCTCTCATTTCCTCAACAATGGTGAAAGGTGAAACTCCCATAAATGATCTTATGAGTGGGCCCCCTCTACTTGGCAGGGACAAAGAGTCTAATGCCTGGATTAAGTGAGATTTGACATGTCGTTCTTTTTTTTTTTTTTCTGTGTATGTGAAGTCACTTTAGTATTTTTTTCCCTCCATAGAAGAAAAAAAAAAAAGAACGGAATTCAGGCGCATATTCGGAAAAAGTGTGTATATGTATATATCTCAGTATCGAAAAAAGAAAAGAGTGTAACTGTGGGCTGAATAAGTACGAAATGGAAAGACTTTTTCAATAATAACTCTTGCACCACAGGTTTGTGTTTGCTACTTTGAATGTCACGTACTTATTTGTATCTTCCTTCTTTTCACCTGCTTTCTGCAAAAAATGATTCTTCTAAGAGACAAGAGAATTAATATTCAGTCTTACTATTCCGAAGTAACCTACTAACGTGAGTAGAAATAAACACCCAGATAAAGAGATCAAGGGAGGGACGACACAACATTATCAAGGTAAGAGGAAAAATAAGGCAATGTCCTGCAGAATATTCTTCGTGTTTCTTCTTATTCTGTGCTCAAGCGCCGTCCTCTCTCACGCTATGTCCTCAGAGGAGCGCGAAAGAAGCAGAGTCACACTCTTTAAAGAAGGGGTGACGGCAGTGCCATTCGAAGATAATGATGGGACGACATATCAAAGAAGAGTTCATTCATTTCGTATTCCTTCCCTTATTGACGTTGATGGTGTGATGATCGCCATCGGTGACGCCCGTTATAATACGTCTAACGACAACTCCTTTATCGAGACGGTGGTAAAGTTCAGTGTGGACAATGGGAAGACGTGGGAAACACAAATTGCAGTGAAGAACACTCGTGTGAGTAAAGTTTCTCGTGTGGTGGACCCTACAGTCATCGTAAAGGGGAACAAGATTTACATGCTTCTGGGAAGATACAACAAGTCGATTTTTTACTGGACTCAGCACACTACTGGAAATGATTGGGAGCCTGTGCTTTCTGTTGGTGAGGTGAAGAAGACAACGATAGATGGTAAGGTGAATGCAACGATTACATGGACCGATCCTGTCTCACTAAAATCTATTTTCCCTAAAGAGATTGCAGGAGCGGCATCAAAGCAATTCCTTGGGGGTGCAGGTGTTTCTATTGTAACAACGGACGGTACTCTTGTGTTCCCAGTCCAGGCAACGAATAAAAATAAGGAAATCACCGCAATGCTTATGTATTCCAAAGACGGTGGTGAGACATGGAAGTTCGCAAACGGTATCACTGCGCTGGGTTGCACTGAATCTTCTATTCTTGAATGGGAGGGAAAAATCATATTGAACGCACGTACGGACATTGGTTACCGCAAAGTCTTCGAGTCCACAGACATGGGGGAGACATGGAAAGAAGCTGTTGGTACACTCTCCCGAGTGTGGGGCAACTCACCAACAAGGGAAGGACCTGGTAGCCAGAGTCCCTTCATTCCTGTAACGATTGAGGGGAAGCGTTTGATGCTGTTTACACACCCCCTGAATTATAAGGGGAAGTGGGAGCGTGACCGACTCCACCTATGGGTAACGGACAACAACCGCATATTTGATGTTGGTCAGATTTCCGTTGGTGATGAGAACGCCGCCTACAGCTCAGTGCTGTACAAGGATGACAAGTTGTATTGTTTGCATGAAGTTAATATTCAGGAGCGATACAGTCTTATCTTTGTGGAGCTAAAAGAAGAACTGAACTTGATCAAGTCAGTGGTGAAGACCTGGATCGAGCAGGACAAGAAGTTCTCAGACATTTGCACCTCAGTCGACCCAAAGACACAGGCTGGTGCAAGTGACTGCGGCCTCCCGTTCCCCACCGCTGGACTTGTTGGCTTCCTTTCCGATGGGGGTGACGGTAAACAGTGGAAGGACGCATACCGCTGTGTGGACGCTAGCGTGAAAAATGCTGAGAAGGTTCTCAATGGTATGAAATTCAAGGGAGTTGGTGCAGGGGCAATTTGGCCAGTAGGTAAGCAGGGACAGAACCAGCGATACCATTTTGCAAACTACATGTTTACGCTGGTAGC